GACACGCGCCGCGGCGCCCGACCAGACTTGGACGGACAGCTCGGTGGCCGCGACCACATATTCTTGGTCGGCGTGGAGGAAGATATAGCTCTCGTTGGCTGACGTGGCAGTCTGCAGCCGCGTTGGCCAGCCGTATGGGAACAGCATGGCGTTCCACTGCTGCCGGCCCCGGCTGCGTCGCCGCGCGTGGGTCGCACGGCGCGTGGGGGGGCCGGTTCCTTCAGCGCCGCGGCGCGCGGAAAGGCACCATGCCGTTCAGCGGGCTGTGCAGGTGGCGCGCTCGCCTCGTGCGACGCGGAGGGTTGCAGTACGACTGCGGCGCCGTGCGCCTGATCGGAAGCCACGCCACGTCTAGAGGCCTGAAGCTTGCTGTGAAGATCGGTCAAGGGACCGTGAGGCCTTTGAGAGCAAGATCAACGATCTATCGCCGAGGCAACAGCATCCAGTCCGCTATCTGTATGCTGACAAAGATTCTTTCAAACGCACGGAGGAAGGTATGGCTGATGAAGTGATGAATCGGTCGCGCGGGCACACCGCTGCTTAGTCACCAGAGTTCAGCGCAACAGATGAGGAGCAGCCTTGTCTTGACAGCTGTAGATTGTATCAATTTTGCGGCTGAAATATATTGGTAATGCTGATTGCTCAACACGCGTACAAACACTCGCGAGGCCATCCCTTCTCGTCCCGCTGCGACAGTGACAGCGCAATTTTGAGGTCCCAGACCGCGTCATCAGGCTATTCGTTGTATATTCGTGGCGTGCGGGCTGTCGGAGGCAGCCGCGGTGGTGGCAGCGCCGGAGCGCCCCGCTCCCACTGCGCGACGACGGCACCTCCCTGCCCGGCGCTGCGGCCCCATCGGCGTGCCTGGGGGGCGGCCTTTGCGGCGGCTGCGAACGAACAGGAGGATATCATCATGAGCAGCGGCGCCGCAGCACCGGCGCCCGTCCCCCTGAAGGCGGTCGTGCAGGCAGCGGTGAGTACGGCGGCGGCGGCCAGTGCCGCCGCCAGCCGTCGCAGTACCTGCCCGCACTGGCACCCCGTCCATGTGTGCATCGCGCTCCGCACGCACGGGCGCCTTGCATGTGCATGCATGCATGCTGCATGCTTGGAGAGTTTAAGTATGCATGCATGCTTGCGCGGCGCGCGGCCTGAACCTACTGCCGAGCCCTAGGGTCCAAGGCACAGGCGCAGAGCCGCCGCCGCCCGCCGCCGGCGCGCAACCCCTTTGTCACCCTTCGGCCGCAGCCGCTGTTTAGTGGCATGGGCGTCGACACACACACACACACGTCTCCTCTGCTGTGCTCAACATGTTTGTGCGCAAATGCACGTGCGAGCAAGCACCTCACAGCATACACACACACATTCACACACACACATGCACGCACACACACACACACACACACAACACCATGTGTGCACCCCGGACGCTCACGCAGCAGCGCAACCGCAACGCCACCGCACAGGTGCGGCGCTGGTTTGAGGACACCCTGGTCGAGGCCCAGCGGGGGGACGTGAAGCAGCAGGCGCTCGTGGCCCAGATGTTTGCAGAGGGCTACGGCTGCCAGCGCGACCTGCAGGCGGCGGCCGAGTGGGCGGAGAAGGCGCGACTGCGCGGCTATAAGATGAAGGGGGTGAGCGTCAGGGTGGGGGCCAAGGGTGCGGCGCTCCCGGGCGTTGGAGGGCGGGGCGCCCTGGGCTTTGGGGCGGGACTGCGCTCTGCGGCCCCCGAGTCCGAGCCATCCAGGCTTGTGGGCGTGTGCTGCGTGTGATCGGGTGGAGCATGGGCGGGGCGGGGGCGGGGGCGGCGAGCGCCGTTTTGGATCTGGGGCTCTCTGAGGAGGGGCTGGCCGGGCCGGGGTGGACCGGGCGGTATTTGTGCTGTGTCACCCTAGATCATGCTTGGCACCGCGCCATCATCACCTGCCGCCGCACCTCCAAACCCGACCAAGCAGGTATACTGCGAGCTCTGACCGTCCTGCCTGGCGGGGAGTGGGGCCGCGCGCCGTGCGGCACCCGCCGCGCCCCGAGCTCGGCCCCGCGCCGCACCGCGGCGCGGAGGCTTGGGAGGCCGGCGGGGCCCTCTGAAGGCCGTCCCGTCTGTCCGCGAGCTCAGCCGGCTGCGAACCCAAGCAGCCCCTCTGCTCCCGCCGGCTGTCTGTTTCCGCCGCTCTGCAGGCGGCCGCGTTTCGCACGCCACATCAGCGCCGCTGAGTCCTGATCCACCGCCGCCCGCTGTGCCACGTGGCTGGGGCGGTGCAGGGAATTTTTGCAACTGGCAGTGGCACGACCTGAGCCAGGAGCCCAGCCGATGTTGCTGCTTCGCTCGCATGTACACCCCCACCAATTAATTGTGTGAGCACGAACGAGACCGTGGCCTTTTCGGCCGCCGCCAGCTGCGGAGTCCCGCAGCAGTCAAGGGGCGCAGGGCCGGGCCCCTGCTGCCCACGCCCCCAGACTAGCTGACTGTGCAGGCCGCCCGCTTCCTAGCGACCGTTCCCAGCGACCACCGCCCCACGAGCGTGCTGCGGCACACGGGTGCGCGTTCCTTATCCACGCCTGCTTTTTTCCATCCCCTTGGCGTGTGCGCCGCATTTCATCCTTTGTTATGCGATCCTGGAGCCCCCAAAGCAGCAATAACTGCGTTCATTGTAACAAATCAACAAACTTTTCCCAGTCATTGAGCCATTGAGCCAGAGCCCCCCTCCTCATGCCACGTGCCCGCCCCTGCTGCCCCCCGCGCCGCCGCCGCCCCCGGCCCTCCCCTTCATGGCGACCTCCAGCACCGCGTCCAGCCGCTGCTGCTCCGCCGCCTCAAACTTGCTGCGCGCCGCCGCCGCCGCGCCCGCGCCCGCCGCCGCAGCACCCACGCCTGCGCCCGCGACCGCCCCGCCGCCTGCGCCCGCAACGGGCGCCGCGGCGCTGCTGCGGCGCAGGTTTGGGGACAGCTTGAGACACGTGACGTTGCCCTTGGAGTCCCCCACGAGCACGACAGGGTACTTTTGATTGAACGCCAGCTTGGTCGGCCGCCCCGACCGCGTGACCTGCGGCGGGGGGGG